TTTTGGGATTCTATGGATCATTCATATTGTTTTCTAGGGAGATCTTTGGGTGTGAATAAAAGTCTTTTCCATTGTGATGTACCTATATATTTATGATATATATGTATCGATCTGTGACTAGACTCACATTTTGTAGTGTTTTTTCCATCTTCCAAACTCATTAATTGTTACGTGCAGTACAATCAATTTGATTTATGAGGAGAAGATTCAAATAGAAAAGCAACTTAACCAAAAAGTGCTACATCTATACTGAATTGGCATCGTTCCTCAACCTGTCTCTTCCACATTCACATAAAATGGTGTATTACTCGCATGTGTTTGTGCCCTATCGAACATTTTATAACGGTTGCTTTTTGCTAGATAATCAAATGGAGTTGATTTCTTTGTCTAATTTGGAAGTCCATCACTGTTAACAGCATTTTTATGGAGTTAAAAGATGGATACGATTGATTGGAATTTATGGAGAGCAGTGTGTTTCTCCCTGATTGATTGTTTTTTTGGTGGGTTCATTTGCCATGTAATTTGCTGGAGATCTCCGAAATGTCATTCCACATTGTTTCGGATGAATTTGCAGTGACATAAATTTCGGGTGTGGATCCTCCATCCGGTACGGAGCTCCTTTGTGTTACTCGAAAAATTGTGAATTTATAAAAATGAGATTTTGATCAACGGCGGCTGAAATACATCGAGACACGAAGAGGAGTACCATATGGACTTGAGGATGTTCCCCCCAAATTTTGATGGCAATTCTAGTTAGGGTAAAGACACCGTTTGTTCTTCAACCCTTTCTAATTGCTTAAGGAGAACACTAAGGATTTTTATGTGAAGTTGAGTCCTTGCACCATATATTTGGTTTACGTAGCTCATTCTATTAAATAAACTAAGGAAAATGTTTCGCAATGCCAGCATCATCCGTGGTAGCTATGTACTTCAAATTTTGAAAAAATAGAGGAGAAAAAAAACTTCAATGAAATGTCACTAACATATTTATTATCGTTTCCATATGACGTCAAACATGCTAGACTTCTGCAGTTGCATTGTCACATGTTTCAATGAACATAAACTTATCTTCGTATTTTACGCTCGATTCGGTTGTTGAAGTCCCACAAGTCTTAACTTCTTCAAGTACTAGGAGTTCACCCCAAATGACATTGACAATGTTGAAAGTATCGGAGGAATCAGTCGAGGCAATACGTAGAAACCCTAGATTGATATGTTAAATTCCAGAAGCTTGACTTCATGAAAGCGTGGCCATCTGGCAGAACAAGAACAACAGATTTGACCTTTGTTTTTCCTTTTGGCCGGTGGAAGATTGGGCTGAGGTTGTGAGCTAACAAAGAGCCTATAAAGAGATGTTCTGTTTTTCTGTCCTAACCAAACCCAAAAACCAGTCACCAACTTATCATCACAACCCAAAATTCTACGTGACTATCTCTTGCTATATAAACTCCCATCCCCTTCCTCCATTTACACAGACACAATTAGCCATTCCATTCCTCTCAGCTCATTGATTTCAAGTCCTTTGAGCCTATCACAGCACAATATCCAGACTCCATATACCGATATGGCTTCTTCCTCTAAGGGCTTTGTTCTCTTCATCGCCCTAATTTTCTTGACCATCAATATGAGTTTCGGAGCTCGTCATCTGCTTCAAACAACTATGGCATTCATTCCGTCTCGTCCCGCCGTACCAACTTTACCAACATCATTGCCTACGCTGCCGACCATGCCGACATTGCCAAAGGTCACCATGCTACCAATGCCTGCCATCCCAACGACCCGGACTCAGCCCACACCCCCGGAAATCCCAACGACCCGGACTCAGCCCACACCGCCGGAAATCCCAACAACCCGGACTCAGCCCACACCGCCAGAGCTGCTCGCCACACAACCAACACTGCCTGCAACTACTCTGCCGCCGCTTCCGAGCTTGCCAACGGCACCTACCATGTTGCCGCCAATGCCAAGCATCCCTACTTCTCCCGCTAAGATTCCCTCTATTCCTTTCCTCGCTCCAACTCCAGCCACCAGCCCCTTGAAGGTTTTAGCCTCACGTGACGTCACTTCAGAGTATTTTTAATTGTTGGCGTCCCCCCTTATGCGTGTAAGATTGTTCGCATATATGTGTGTTGTCATGAGATGTCTTCTCCGGATTCTATTCACCATTCGCGTTGTTTTCTAGTGAGCTCTTTTGGTGCGAATGAATGTTATCCAATATCTTGTATCTGCTACTATGATATCTATTGAACAGTTGACTTGCCTTCCATCCTTTTTATGTCCTTCCCACTGCTTCCAAGCTTGTTACTGATTATTACATTCTGTCAGTATAAAAAAGTGTCCTCCGCACACGACTTTATCAACCTTGTTTTCCATTGTTAATGTTGAGTGGGCGCTACAAAAAAATTAACCTTTCACCGCGGCGGAATTCGGTGGATAGAAGCCTGGAATTTCGTGGCTGATCAGTCGTAGCTGAAGGCATGCAGCAGTAGACCTTGTCGAGATCGAGCAATTTCGTAGCCGAAAGTATACTTTTCGCCACGAAGATAATTCACGGCAAAAGGCGTGAAATAGAAGCTCAACCTAAAGGGCCAACCTTTTGTGACGAAAATTTCGTGAGTTGCCGTAGCTTTGGCAGCACAAAATCTCGTGGCTAATCACATTAGGCAAGGAAAAATTCGTGACCGAAGCGTCAAATTCCGTAGAGGTTGAATTATCTTTGCTCACGAAATATTTTGTGGTGACAACGTCCTGGGAAAAACCTGTACTTTTAGCCACGAAATTTTCGTAGGTGAAATTTCTTGGCAACACCACATTCCTTATTAAAAGTCTATATACTTTTTGCCACGAAGCAAATTGACGCATCAGGCCACTAAACTTTTCGTGGCTAAAAGTTCATGTGAATTTACTTGCAACTTTTCCACCATGAAAATTTCGTTGCTAAATTCATTTGTACATAATATTTTTTTTTGCCTGGTTAAAAGGGTGCAAATTCGCTCGTTGCTAAAAGTCCTTTGCAAATTTTGAGTTTATATTATAGGTCCCATTTGCAAATCTAGGTATTTATTTTTGCAGTTGTTTATGCATATCATAAATTAACCCCAATGAGCAAATATAAAGTTAAAACATTAGATTCATAATTTAGCGATATATGACATAGCGGTCCGACCCGTGATACCTCGCCTCCGGTCTCTAGTGTCGAACACGAAATCGTTTTTGTGCGTATCTCTAGCATCTTCTCTTGGTTAAACAATCAAAGTTTTAGGAAAAATTAAAACATTAAATGTTTATATTATAGGTCCCATTTGCAAATCTAGGTATTTATTTTTGCAGTTGTTTATGCATATCATAAATTAACCCCAATCCGCAAATATAAAGTTAAAACATTAGATTCATAATTTAGCGATATATGACATAGCGGTCCGACCCATGATACCTCGCCTCCGGTCTCTAGTGTCGAACACGAAATCGTTTTTGTGCGTATCTCTAGCATCTTCTCTTGGTTAAACAATCAAAGTTTTAGGAAAAATTAAAACATTAAATGCTGCATTAAGAGAATTGATCGAGGATATTACACTTCTGCAATTCTGCCTTCTTCGCTCATCAACCCACTCCCCATTACTTTTCTCCTAAATCTGGCTTCTTCTGCTACTGTTTTTCTGATTGAATTTTTCATGATTTACTATTTTCTCCATAGCTTGCATTATTTCCCAATCATAAAAGCATGAAAGAAGAAAATATGTTGAAAAATCAAAACAGAAGCTGTAGCAAATTAAACAGAAATGCAAAAGTAATAGTGTAAGCAAGCACATGTTAAGAGCTATGCAGAAAAGAAAAGGTTATTAACGTTTGTGAAAGTATGCATCAAAGGAGGAGGAGGAAGACGATTAATGCGGCATGTGTTATCTGTTTATGGCACAGAAAACACACATCTCTATCCCAATCTTAGTCTGATTCAATCATTTTAGCTAAGTTTCAATTAATTGTTTTGACGAAGCTTACTCTAGATCTTTTTAGCATTTAAAGATGCTTAAATATAGACTCTATCTATTATTAACATTCGAAAATAACATGAAAGAGTAAAGGATGACATGTAAATAATTGGTAAGGTTATCAGGCCACGTGGCGACACAATCCCAAATGTCATGTCACGTGGCAAGCGAAGAGCTAAAGAGAAGTGCCACACAGCGAGCACATGAGTGAACGCTGTCCCAACTCTAATTTTAATTATATATAATAAGTACAACCCTATGATGATAACTTGGTTGGTAACACTTAACACCAATTTCAAAGGAGATAAGACCAAAATTATTTTTTTGGTGGAATGTTTGTGTCTACTTTTTATTCTTTATTATCATTTGAGTCACCCAAAAAAAAAAAAAAACAGAGTGCGTAAAGGCTAAAGCCCATCACCCTAACAGTAGACCATCTAATTAATGGAATCCAAAGTTTGGAGAGATCAGTCAAGGCAACTCAAAGAAACCTGGATTACTATGTTAAACTCAAGAAGCAAGTTATAAGTCAACCAAGATAATAGTATTTTATGAAGCGAGTTGTTCGGTTACCTTTCTCAAAGACATAGATGCGAAGTTTGACATCATGAAAGCATGGTCATCTGGCAGAACAAGAACAACAGATTTGACCTTTTCTTGCTTTTTTCAGGTGGAAGATTGAGCTGAGGAGGTGAGCCAACTAAGTACCAATAAGGAGACGTTCTGCTCTTTTCCTGCCCATAGCCAAAGGCCAGTCACCAACTTATTACACAATCCAAAATTCTATATGACTATCTCTTGCTATACAAACTCATATCCCCTTCCTCCATTTATCCAGACACAATTAGCAATCCATTCCTCTCAGCTCATTGATTTCAAGTCCTTGAGCCTATCACAAAAAAAGATCTAGAATTCATTTACCAACATGACTTCTTTCTCAAAGAACCTTGTTCTCGTCATCACCCTAGTTTTCTCAACCATCAATATGAGCTTCGGAGCTCGTCAACTGCTTCAAACAACTATGCCATCGATACCGTCTCTTCCCACCATACCAACTTTACCAACGTCGTTGCCTCCCCTACCGGCCATGCCCACATTGCCAAACGTCGCCATGCCACCAATGCCTGCCATCCCAACAACCTTGCCCCAGCCCACACTACCGACGCTGCCCACCATGCAACCAACACTGCCCACGACTACTCTGCCGCCGCTTCCAAGCTTGCCAACCATGACAACCACCTTGCCGCCGATGCCAAGCATCCCTACTTCTCTCCCTAAGATTCCCTCTATTCCTTTCCTCACTCCACCTCCAGCCACCAGCCCTTGAAGATTATAAGAATAAGATGACCTTCTTGTAAGAATAGTGGTGTGATTTCTTTTAATTCACTTGGGTTCCCAGCAATATAATGTGAGTTCTTGGTAGTACTGTTCACATGTTTTGTTTCGTAGAACGATATAGGAAAACTGACCACTTAGCCTCCCACTTAGGCAGAAGACGTGCAGTATATGGTATGACTAGGCACACAACGATGCTAATCTGAGTTACACTCTCTCTTGGATAAACATAAAAGTGTTGGGGGATTCTTCTGTCTCATTCTTTCTTCCATACAAGTTGTGGATGCATATGATGGATTTTCTAACAGATTCTCCTCTCCTCCTCTATTCCTTTATTCGTGTATAACATATCTACCAATCAGATACCCCCAGTCTATCTCCGTGGCATCAAATTGTGAAGTAGGACAAGTGTCACTTGGCATTTGCATTGCTACCCTCTAGAAAGAAAGGTTTTGATTGTCTTGATTAAAGTGCTTGTTTTTTCTTTGATTCTGGATATGCCGGAGAAGCGAGCTTGATATTACATTATGCAAATGCGGTAAGTACCAATTTTGTCACGCCCCGAACCCCAACGAGCTCGCGACATCCCCTGCTCCGGTCGAAATGATGCAACGTCTCAGGAACATCGCCGACCCAACCCAAACATCAGAGCCACATGCGGAAGCGAATAACAAAACCCCGGACAAATAATGACGACAACGGGGTAGAACAACAGAACAATCCAGCAACCACATATTCATACAACACCAAATATACAAACATCATATTACGGACATAAATACGGACTAACATCCTCAATCCTTGTTTAAACAAAAGTTCGGGGTTTGGTTATCTTAACTTCACTATCGGATAACCAAAGTTATACAACCCCTAAAACACCCTAGGGAAAAACCTAAGGGTCGCCCTCTTCCATTCTGCTTCTGAATTTCTGGATTGAATATCGGAACTCACTGCGAGCTCCACGGGCACCAACAGCAGCTCCCGGACTTCCAAAAAGAAAAGGCTCATTTCCGGGTTTAGGGCCGGGTTCGAAAGTGGCGGTTATACAACCGTGAGACGAATCTCAATAAGTGTACAACCCCAAACCCCACGTAGGCACTCACGTACCGCCAGACGAAAACACACATAACACACAACGATCGGCCAAACTAACAATCACATGCGACCCTACCTGGAATCCATAATGCACATTCCTGCACGTTAGATAATAACACAGCCAACACATCACAGCAAGGAATCACAGACGCGCGCGTGCCTCAATTATAAGACAAAAACCACTTGGGCACGTCCCATACCGTGCCTAGCAGTTTCTACCCCATAATTAAGCATCACATCGCGCGATACAAACACACTCGCATGCTACTCACACCATGCGTCACTTTCCACAATCCTCTCGCTTGTCTTGCCAAATCCCACTCATTTTCAACCTTTCCACCACTACCGCGCCCGCGTAAAACGCATCAGGCCAACGGTCTTCTGACCTCGTCAGGCATCGTCACCCCGTCGGGCCGGGCATCGTCACCTCGTCAGGGTCGGCATCATCCCGCGTAAACGTACACGCCTCAGGACGGAATCCTACACACACTTTCCTTCTACCGCGCCCGCGTAAAACGCATCAGGCCAATGGTCTTCTGACCACGTCAAGCATCGACACCCCGTCGGGCCGGGCATCGTCACCTCGTCAGGGACGGCATCGTCCCGCGTAAACGTACACGCCTCAGGACGGATCCTTTCCAACCAATCTCACATTTCCGTACCCTCGTTCCACTCAAACCACACTTGCCACGCCACCACACAAATACACTGCCAAACATACACACTTCACACACATTTCACATTTACACAACCTCGTCACACAAACACCGCACGAACACCCAATCACACATTGTTGGCACGCGAATACAATACGCGAATGCACTACCACACCACCACACTTCACGGCCACACACACGCGACACATGGCCAGTCCACAATCAGCCCAAGCACAATCCCAAACCAGCCACAACCACACAATCATATCACAACACACACGATCAACACACAAACTGGCATTTCTCCACACCCAAACGTTATCAAATCAGTTCAAGCCCTTCACGACAATTTCACAAAATCTCGGGCCGGACCTAACAGTACCAACCACACGACAAACAGCACCCCACAGCACCTAAAACCACACATCACAGCCATCAATCAGTCTTTTTCGCCCTCAAAATCACCATATCTCACTCCCGGCTCTTCACGGCACTTTCATAAAATTATGAGCCGGTCCTAATGGTACTAACTGCGTATCGAAAAGCCACTCACAGCACATCACACGGCATATCACAGCCAGCAAACAGTCCCTAAAATCACTTAAACCGAACTTCAAACGAGTCTAGAAATACCCGAGGTCCTAAATGACATTTGGGGAAAACACTTACCCAAAAGGCGAGATAGACGAGTGAACGCAACGGACAGCCGGCAGTCGCCGGTGATGTACGGACGGCGTGAACAGTGTTTCGTACGGGGACGCGGTGAACAGTACCACTCCATACGGACAGGGATGGGACGGTGGCCGAAACGTAATCTGCAGAAATGGAAACGGGAAAAGAGAGAAAATTTTGGGGGAAAATGGCTGAATGGTCTTCACGAGAGAGAGAGAGAGAATAGTCTGGTCAAATGAGTCAAAGTTAGCTTAGTGGGATTCATGTGTCAATAATCCAAGGGTTTGGACAACTTTGCCCTTGATCCAAGAGCCACCAATTGATCTTATCTAATAATTTAAGGGCCCATTGGTCATTTGTCCCTAACCCAAGGCTGACCAGACCTGGTTTAGCCTAATTGACCTTGGTTAGTCCCCAAATTTTGGTCAAAATTCGGAATAAAGGAAAATAGGCCTAGGGGCAGTTTCGTAATTTTTCGATCCCGAACCGAAATTTCAATTTTCGCACATACGCATTCCATATGTGCGTGGCCAACATAATATGGCGTTGGAATCGCGAAATTCATCGCGCAAGCCCTCGAAAATCCACGTCAAAGTTTCGGGAATAAAATAATATTATTTTTCCAATTTTTGTCGAAATTCCAATTTTTGGCTAAAACCACTCTGAATGTGCGTGGCCACCCCAAAATGACCTTGGCCGCGAAAAATAACCTCAAACGGCCTCAAAATCCAATATCGGTGTCCACGGGGCAAAATCGTAATTTTCCGGCCCGAACCGAAATCCATTTTTTGCGAAATGTTTGGCCCCAAGGTTGGCCAAGCCAAAAACGTCATCGGCCGTCCAAAATTGTCACTTTCAAAATTCTCGATTCCCGGGCTCGAATTCCAAGAAATGACTAAAATCGAACAATCGCGACTTTAGCTTATCTCTGGCTAACGGGTGGCTCATTGGGATTACGCGCTCTCGACCCGTGACTGACACTAAGTCAAATCACGTTTAAGTTTACTCTACCTGGGACGACCTCGGTTGTCATATAATTGTGAGGGTCTGTCGCTAGTTCCCTTCGGACACGATCAATCAAGTAGACCGGTCTCGGTTGGCTCAAAACATTCCCTCGTCAATCCATATGGTCAAAGATCGAACCAAGGTCGAGTTCTTTGGTCGTGCGAACTCAATCCCGTAACGGCCCTACCCCTAAGGTTAGCATCCCGTGAATGCGCATTTCCGGGTGAGACCTCACTATAGTGCATTGGTCAAATTCATTTCTTAAATCCCGGGAAAAGGATCGAAAATTCAGACTGTTACAAATTTCGTTCGGTATAGAATATCATCATGACCATTTACCATGATCATTCTGTTGTGGATTCTGAACAATATTGTGCTTGTGCTGTTGCAAAAATTGGGAGCGAGCTGTACACCATCTGCACCACCATATGTAGCTTCTTCGGCTCATTGAATGCCTTCGTGCTTTGCACCTCCTCCGCATCAGCTCCTCCTTACAATGTACCAGCCATAGCATGTCTGCATACCCATCTATCCACATATCCAACGGCATACCCTCCTCCAACACATTTTCCCCATGCTCCATTAGCCCATCCTCCTCCGTACTCTCCCCTTTGGCTGATCCTCCGCCTTCATATCCACCACCTCCTGGCGCTCTAGGTATGTGTTGAGTTTCAACAGTTACGCATGAATTGGCTCATTATTATGTTGATTCTATGTTGTTCATTGCTGTATGTCATCAATTGGGAGTATGTTGTTTCTCTCTCAGGACCTTAGTATTATCCTACACCACCTTGGCACATACCTGGAGGGCTAGGAGATGGAGGATATGGAGGCGGAGGATAAACCAAAGGGGGAGGATACACCGGAAGAAGATAGGTTGATGGAGGGTGGGAAAAATGAGGGTATGCCACTGGATATGGTGGATAGATGGGTACACTGTCACAGGACATGGTAAGGCATGTGCATAGTAAGGAGAAGTCGATTTGGGAGGAGGCGCGGAGTATGAAGGCACCTGAAGATCCGAAGTTTGTCCTAAACATGAACAATTGTTTCTTATGATGCGTGTCTTTTCTTTGGGATAAATCTTGGAAAAGGTTTTGGCTCCTCTGCCAATCGGATGAGCGGTGTTTATGGTTCACTTGACCACCATTTCCATCACCGGAATCGGGATCAACCCTGCGAGAAGTATCGGTGCTGCTGTTTTCTACAACAAGGATAAGGCCTGAGATGATCAGGTTAATTAATTCATTGCTCGATTACGTCTTTCTTTTATTTTTCAGAAAGAAAAAAAGATTTTCTATATTTCCCCATTTCACTAGAGTTTGCTGATAATGTCCCCTTTGTTTTCGTTGGGTTTATGTGGATCTTCTGGGTAGGACCATTCAATGGATCAGCCATTGCAGCTTTCTACCACCACTTCATATTGAGGGCAGGAGCAGTTAAAGCCCTTAGATCATTCAGGAGTAACCCTTAATCTATTTTCATAATTTATTAATGCCCTCCTTCTATTTGTTCTCTGCTGAGGGAAAACAAAAAGACGAGAGAGAGAGAGAGAGAGAGAGAGAGAGATTTGGAAGGAGATTGTGCTAAAGTCACACGGTGGTGGAGGATTTGCTTTTGTTATGCATGTTTTCAAAAGTTCATGGAATGTGGAATCTGTAGAGAGATGGAAAATCCTTGTGTTATGATGAGGTGGGGAACATGTATCTGTGTCTTTGTTCTTTGTATGCTGTGCACTACATTCATATGTGATTTCGCTCCTGTTTCGTGGTTATCTTCTGTTGGTCCTCTCTCCCTTATTCACCTTCTCGTTAAATCTCTTTTTGGGAGAGAATATTGGGTGCCACTAGGGATTCCACCGTGGAGAAATAACAAGTCTGAGGTGGCGACACGTGTCCGCGGAAACCCACATGTCAGGAAGGCTTCCCGGTGGAATAACTCCCACGGCACAGAGCTAAGCCGAGCCGAGCTGAGAGCAGCTGTGAGAAATTTTTTAAAAAACAGCCCTCTCTCTCTCTCTCTCTCTTTCTCTCTCTTTCGCGCTCCCATCGAATTCCAGATGTGGAATTCGCTCTGTGCTCCGTCTCCCTTGCGACGACGAGCGAGGTCCGTCTCCTCGCCCCGACGCCGACGCCGCCTCACTCCGACGATTTCTCTGTCTTCACGCTTTCTTCACGCTCTGCTCTCTCTCCCTCCCGATACACGCCTCTCTGCCTTTTGGGCTTTCGTAAATCTCTTTGGTTCGGTTTTGAATCTCTGTCTCCCCCCCCCCCCCCCCCCCTGCACCCTCTGACCCAAGACCAAGAAGAAGAAGCCTGGAGGCAGCAAGAGGAAGATGACGGTCGAGCAGGCGCTCGCCTTCATGTCCGTGAGCGAGTGCAGCGATGGCTACTCGTCTCCTTCCAAGCTCGTTGAGCGAGCTCATGCCTATGGGGTCAGTTCTTTTTTCCTTAAATGTTTTGTTTTCTTTAGCCCAATCTCTAAAGGGATGATTTTGGGGTTTGAGATGTTATTTATAAGGTCGTTCTATCTATATTGAAGTTGTTTGTTCATCCGAAAAAGAACAAAAAAGGAAAGAAAGAAAAGAAACAGAGGAATGTGTAGCTTGGTGTTTTCGTCGTGTATCTTGTCAGTTTAGTGGCTCGCAGAAATGGAGGGTAACTCAAAGTGTTAGATTAAAACTAAACTTGATTCTTGCTCTTAATCTTCTTTTATCTTTCTTTCCTTTTCACTTGCAATGCATATTGGTGGTACATTTTGTTAGAAACTGTTTTTGCCCAAAAGCTCAAGTGTTGGGAAATGGGTCCATCCTTTAATACTCCCCATCGCTTGTATACCAGACTTCACGCAGGATGCGGGCGTGAAAATAGCCGCTTCAAACAATCAATAGGAGATAATAACACCACCATTCTAAGGAGATGAATAATGTAGATAAGAGGCAATGGCATGATTCAAACTTTTGACCTCTGCTCTGATACAAGATTCAGATGGTCAATGAAACTCGTATGTTTATGCACAAGGAGACATGTACTAGTCGTGAGAAGTACTAGTAGAGTTACATGTGTCGTATAATTTTTCCATGTGAGGGGCCTATTAAGTTTCTAGAAAGTTGTTTGGATAAGCTGTCTGTCTAAAAGCATTTGGTTTCTTGGAATCCCGCGAGTGAGTAGTGGTATCAGAATCCAAATTTAAATACAAGTATGAACTCCGAAACATAAGCCACCACTTGAGTTCAGTACTAAACTGCTGCAGATATTTTTGCACCTAAAGTTGACATTTTCTAGTTAGTTAACTACCTCGGAGTGGTAGCACTAAGATGCCAATTCTATTGCTAAAGATTGCCTCAGTAACGCCAGTACATGAGTTATGTCCGGCCTTTCTACTCCAGTTGGCCGTGTACAAGACTTTGCAATCTCTATCGCTTTCCAAGCTGAGTCAATGTCAAACTTCCCTTGTAAACTTGGATCCATAATCATCTCTATTTCTTTAGTTTCAACGATAGGAGTCATCCACTAAAGTAAAAACACGTTGCGCACTGCGCTTCTAGTTACTACTGGATGTCCTGTAATTAGCTCAAAGAGTATGATTCCGAAACTATAAACATCACTTTTTGTGTCTGGCCTTGAATATGGATAAAACCTGCATATACATATGAGAATATGGATGAGAAGACAATTTCTAGGTCATGATAAGGCTTCTCTTTGAATCTCTTTGAGTCATTTATCCTTTTTGAGCTGTTTTTTTTTTGTCAAGTCCAAATTTTAACCACTTAAGAAGTGGAAAAGATAAGACCTATAAACATTGAAATGTTTCGCCAGTAGTTTCATGTGCATCCAAGTAGTGAAGAAGGGATGGATATTAATAAATGAGAAGTGACACATGAAATCTTGGGGAATGTCTGATTTTGTGCATAAAGAGATTGGACAAGATTGAGTTTTATTCATTACTCTGGGTCGAAGTAGCCTGGAGTGCCCAAAGGACAAGTTTGATAAGAATCAAGAGCTTGAGGTTCAAAAGCTGAGATACCAAAGTCAGCTAATTTAGGTTGCATTTCCTCATTCAACCAGATGTTTGCAGCACTCAAGTCTCCATGGATGATGGGTGGGTGGCAATCATGATGAAGATAATCCAAACCTGCAATTCTTTGCAAAAACTCCTTAAACCGTGCCAGAGCAAAAACTGTAATAGTGGATATTTCATCTACATACCTTGTGCTACATCCACGGCAATTTGTAGTCTCTTACTCCAAGTCAAGAAATTTGGCCTGTCGCCTGTTAAATCAACACATCTACCACCGTTATATGTGAAAAACAGGCATCTTCGGGATAATTCTAGAGAAAGGACTGTAAAAGAGAATGATAAAATACCTGTTAAGTTTTCTTGCAGATTTCCACCATCCATAAATTCATATATTAGCCCCTTGGTTTTGCTGCCATCACAATATCCAAGCGGAGAAACCAAGTTTTCATGGTGAACAGCCCTCAAGTGTTTGGCCTGCAAAATCACAAGTGTGCATTACCATTGTTTACACCGACATTAGTATGGGACCAAGTTTCTAAATATGCATCAATTGCCTTGTTCTATCTAACCTTGGCTTGAAATTCCCTGGACCCTCGCATAGAAAAACAAAAGAAGACCTTCACAGCAACTTCGGTGCCATCCTCTAGTGTGCCAAAATATACATTTCCAGATCCTCCTTCAACGAGAACTGTTCCAAAGTTCCCCGTTATCCTCTCAAGTTCTCCATATTTAAAAGGTCCATCCTTTAAGTTCAACATCTTTTCCCTAGGTTTTACACCATAATCTTTCCAATAAGTACTACATAACAACTTCCGAAGTTCGACAAGTAGATTATCAAGGAAAATCTTTGCAAGATGCTTGCTGCTGAGAAATCCAACCTATAGGGCAGCATTTTCTGAAATTTGGGAGCTATATTCAAGGAGAAGATGACAAAGAGGGAAAAAAACAGTAGGGATTGAAGTTCTGGCACCTTGCGGAGCAATGAACTAATCAGGGAAAATAGTATCTTCAAGTTGTTACTTTATTCGCATGCTTGTCATGGATGAAATTCTGGGTCATTAATTATTAGGAGCTCAATCAAATATAACCAACATGACTCTCTAGAACTATTTAGCACATCATGATCATCCTCCCTTTAGAACACTCTTCTTTTTTTAGGGTCTGTTCTTTTTCAAAATCACGTTGCCTATCACCTTTACATGATGTTTTCTGGAAGAATCCAGCAAGTATTGTCCAGAAAAAGTAACCGACTTACAGAGCCTACAAATAGGCCAGAGGACACTTTGGAATGATGGGCACAAGCACAAATGAGAGAAATGTGAGCATGAGTGCGTGTGAGTGTCGTGGCTGAAATGTTAAGATGCAAGAAGTACCAGCGACGGCGAGCCGGCTGACTAAAGCTCTGATGCAGCCGTCAATATAGTCACGTGGTGCTGATGGTGATGATGCTGGAGATTGAGGAAAAGCGTGGTTGAAATCATCAGGATCTTGAGCGGGATCAAAGGTGGCGAATTTGAAGACCATTTCCTTCCTTTTGCTCTGCTCTCGAGAACCAAATCTTGTTCTCTATCACCACCTGAACAAATGTCTATGCATAGGACTTTCATTTTTTTTACTTAATCCACTCTTTTTGTTGAATGCTTTCGGAGGTTTGCTGAAGAAAAGTAAGATAACTATGAAGTAAACTATTGAACATGGCTATACTAATTGGTGTTCTTAAGATTTGGTAGGTTGGAATTATATCAGGAAGGATTAGTACCACTTTCACTATGGGTGATGGGAGAAAAGCAATGTTCTGGTTTGGTAGATGGCGTAATTTCCAGCACTTAAAACTCTTTTTAGACCGGTTCTTTATTTCTATCTATAAAGATGGGATTGGAGCCAATGTTCTTAAGGTGAAATGACGGATGTTTGCTTTGGGTCCAAATTTTTTCGCTATTCCACGATCTTTAAGAGATCCACATTTCAACTTACTTAGAAGTTGAATGGATTGAGAATCCAGTGTAGTAATAAAGAGAAGCTGATGTGAAATCTAAGAACAGGTGTGTGTTTACTTCAGGCCCTTTTTCGAGGTTTTTGAAGTTTCATGCAATTCCAGCTTCCTTAAGAGCAGATCATAAAGTTTTTTATTTCCTTCTAAAGTTAGCTTTACTTCTTCATGTTATCAGATACATATAGAAGAGATCGTGAGTCAATTAATCACCTATCCCTTACTGTCGTTGCCATTCGGCCTTGGTATTCAGAACCAGAAAAATCTATTCTACTTTTGATCATGCTGAAGTTAGTTACAGGCTTGTGCAAAAGCTTGGGGGGGGGGGGGGTGTATTGGTGGTAATAAGAGATTCGAGGATTTTAAATATGGGCAGGTATTCCACATTGCCGGAAAAGGGGAATGCTTTTGTTACATCTCGCTCATCGCTTTCATTCTGTTTCAGGTTCCCGTTTCAGGGGTGTTTGATTTATGAACCGCTAATTGCTCTCCTGTTGCTTGCGGAATGCTGCTCTTTCTTCTACTCGGAAGCGTGAAAGCTACTCGCCCTCTGCTTCTCTCCTTGCTCTGGTAAACCGTGAAGCCAAAGAGTACACTTGGAGCTGAAAGCAGGTCGAACCATTTCTTTTCTTCCGATATCTAATGTTAGGGTCTTTTGTGAGGAAAAAGTTGAACATTCCTTGCTCAACTAAAATTTCAACCGAGGACCTAGAAGCTAAAATCTTTCTACATCTGTTGCAAGATTACTTGATGTATTCTTTGTATCTATCTTAATCTATGGTATAAATTTCTAGCAAAACAGTATTTAATGAGCAGATTGTTCTCGGTAGGTAAATAATCACTTATGAGATAGGGAGATTAATGGCATGTCCATCACATGGATTTGTTTAAATACATGGATTGTAACATCTTATCTTGTGTTGCGATTGTTCATTTGAGTAGCTATAGGGAAACAAAAAAAGGATGTCATCAGCTCTAATTCTGTGCTTTGTGCCTTTCGGAGATTGAAACTGTACCTCCCACCTAATGGAAGAGGACTAATTCTTTTGTGCACTAAAAATAATGCAGGAGCAGTACTTGGTTTAGATTAAAACTGCAGGCTCATAGTATGGGAAACTCTGATGACTCATCCGTCTTACTTTCTGTTAGGATTGGAGCAGGAAACTGTGCAATTTATATCTCTCTTCCATATATTTTTTGTGGTTTACTGCATCATGTCCGACATCTCCTGGTTGATGACATCTTCTAGTTGATTTTGCTTACCTTTCTTAAAGTTCTAATAAGAGTAAGGTGCTTTTCATGTAGTGAAGAATCTAGAACTTCTATGCCCACGTGGGAATCCTCTGCAAATTCTGATGTGCAAGATAGCCTAGGACTTGGACTTGATGAGCAGAAGGTCCGAGCTTTTGCAGCTTCAAAATTCGGGGCAAGAGAACTCCGTTCCCTGATTTTTAAGGTCCTCTTTTTTTATCCATTTTTATGCCTGCATTTCTTTCGTGATCTTTATTCTTTACCCTTTTAGTCCTTCCATACTTCTACCAACTCAATTTTGTTTTCCTCCTTTTCAATATCATAGGGGGGAGGTTTGATTACTTTGGCAAAGATTTCTCAGCTGGTAAGAGCACCATTCACCTGAGAATCTTTACTTTTTTTTTGGTCAAAGAGAATCTTTCCTTCACTAGGTCCATTTAATATGTTTTAACCTAGTTTCCTCTTTAAGGTAGATTGCAAGAAGATTATCGGGGAAAGTCCTCTTAGAAGCTGCTAACTATCAGATAAGAAAGGAAGTTGTCAAGAAAGTAAGTGCTTGGCAAATTTTGTATTGTCATTAACTTCATCAAGTCCTCACGACATGGAAATAGAATACACATCCTGTTCATTTTGTTACTGGATGATCTAATGCTTGTGGAAAATATGCGTAAGAACCGAAAGTGTGTAAGAAGCGTTATCCTTCTTCCAATGGGATAAACAATTGTGGATCAAAAAGAGTAAATTAGAAGACAAAGCATGCAGCGAGTATGCAGGGGGTCTCCTTCATAATTGAATGATTCTCTTGAAGTCTCTATACTCACTTTATAAATGACCTAGCAAATTAAGGTTTTGCGCTGCAGTTAATGAAAATTTTGTATGTTATTTGGCATGGCGCTTGAACTAATAATTACAAGGAGATTGAAAATCTGATTTATTTAATTATGTTTGTTGGGATACAGGGCGGACAGTTGACTACTATAAATCTTGAATCTCATGTGGCCTTGCTTGCTGCAAAGAAGGTGATGACATTTGAATTTGCATACACACCGGAAAGTTATCATAGTGCAACAACGCATGATCATTTACTCCATAGATATTTTATCAAATGCGAACTCATCATTATGTTTTTGTGTGATTGGTTTTGGCAAATACCAGCAAGGCACATAGCGATAGAAATTTTATTTTCGGCTGGTAAAAGAGAATTTATGTATAGGTTGTTAACTGTGCTTGTATTACTGCATCGACTATTTGGAAAGAGTTGGTTTCTTCCACTGACGATAAATCATCAAAGGTTATGCGTGTAAACAATAGCTCACCAAGGAGGTATTACTCGATAGAATTCACATCGTGTTCTGAGAGAGAGCTTGATTTTGTTACTATCTGGGTCTTTTTTAAAAGTAAAATAAGGAAGTTTTCTTTTTTTGGGGTCTAGTACAGAAGATGAGCTACATTATGTTTAGTGGTGCGAGTGTGTTGAGGTTGTTCTATTCCGTGTTTGCCTCAGGACTCCAAAGAAGAATGGTTTTTCCGGGTTCTGCTCTTGTTGGCTTCCTTTGCCCAAGGTAGAGTTGAAATGTATTGCTTGGTGGGTGTTTGTTTACCTGCGATTTGAGGTTGAGCTTCGATTTACAAATTACAAAATAGGTGGATTTGAGGTTGAGCTCCGATTTGCCTAAACCTCTTATTAGTCTCTGCTGCCTCATACGAGGCATTGCTGTGACTGTTTTCGGCAAATGTCGACACTATGTTTGTGTATCCCTTCTTGAAAATATTATAAACAAAATGTTGGTTCTTGGATATCAGGACATAGACGTGGTAAAGCCTATATAGGCGTGTTAGAATGCTCATCGGTTCTTATTTTGGGTAATTCTGAGGTTATTGATTAGAAGTTACTTGGCTGCATATATTGTGATGCACTTAATCTCGGAAAGTAGGCGAGAGTTCTTAATAGCACATAGTTAATGGGTCAGACGTATTAGCACATGGTTAATGGATCGAACGTAATATACATGAAATACTGTACTCAAATATACATTTTTTTGTGAGGGATGCTGATTATCTTCCTAAAGGAGATTATTCAGTGTAGTTTATTAGCCTTTGGCAGCCTAGATGGGTCAACTAGATCTCGCATATGCATATTTAGTTTTCGTTTTTCATGTTTGTCGTGACATGCTTTGAATTAAAGTCATGTATTGATTATCGAATTCCTTAATTCTGTCAATATTGTGCTTATCGATCTTTAATCCTTTGATAATGACCTAGATAACTGTACATTCTTTGCAACCTTTGAAATTGCCAGGTGAAAGGATCTTCTGGTAATCAGATTCAAGATTCTCATGACAAGATCAGTGAGAAATTTCAGTGTATGGCTCACCATAAGGGTTTTCATCGGTTTTGCTTTACTAACAAGTCTCCTTATCATGAAATCATCGACTTTGATGTACATGTTGGCCATTTTGCATACTACGATCACCATGCAAAGGACGGTAGGACTCTGCTTTTTTTCTGTTTTATTGTCTGTTGAAAACTTTATGAACGTACCATGTGTAACTCTTTTTTATCTGTTGTGAATGTATCTGCAGAGCATATCAACCCCTTGTTGGAACAGATAGGGAAGTTGGAGGAGGCTCTCTCCAACATTCAGTTTGAGCAGCATTGGCTGGAGGCTCAGACTGAGCATCAAGCAATTGGTAAAATATTTTATGTCAAGTCCTCTTGCTATTCCAACCTTGTTTCATCTTGAACGGAAATAACTTTCCTATTTAATGCTGAGTGGACCACCATAGTTTGATTAGACTCCCGTTATCTCTTAAATTTCAAAGGTTATCACAGCCACTCAAACTCACAAAAACAGGGGAGAAACAGGGGAAAAACGGTGGCCGAGTGGACCTACCGGTCGAGGCGTCAGTTCGATGGATCGCCGCCGGCTCTAGCTCAACGGGGAGGCTCCTGTGACTTGGCTCTTCAACCTGCAGGCCAAAGGTTTGATCTTTTTTGCTCAATCTCTCTCTTTCTCTCTCGGTTTCTCTCTGTGCTTTTCTCTCTCTCTCTCTCTCTGTTTTCGTTTCAAAAATCCCCGACCCCTTGGCTGGCCTCCTCGCCGGTTTTTACAGCAGATGTTGGCCACTCGCCTCTGTCTCCATCCTCCCCATTAATGGCCTGCACCGGCCTAGGCTTGCTCAAGACTTTTGTGGCTATTTAGGCCGGTGCAGGGGCTGCTCCGAGTCAATGAAGAAGGAAAGAGAAGGCCGGGAATTGGGAAGGACGGGACTGGCCATCAATGCCAGTCCCGTTGCCGTGCCTCCTTTGTCCATCTTCTGCTCGATAGGGACGTCGAGGCCGCGCTCCGCCGTTCGTTGCTCTGGACGTCAGCAACAGAGAAGAATAGGGGAGAGAGAGACGGGTCAACGTGGGGGAAGAGAAGAAGAAGGGGAGCTGGGCCGGGCCGGGCCCAGCCCGCACGGGGAGAATAAAAAGGGAAAAAAAAAGAAAAGTGGGCTGGGCCCGCGCGGGGGAAGAAAAGGAGAAGAAAAAAAAAAAGAAAAGGGTCGGGGCTCATGTGGGGAAAAGGAAAAAGAAAAGGGCCGGGTCAACTTGGCCCCGAACCGGCCCAACTCGAAATATATTTTTTTCAAAGTTCTAATAGACCCTATTAATATAAAATGTGCCTAATTTCTATATGCAATGCATTTAAATAGAAATATTTTTTTTTAGGAATTAAATAAAATTAACTCCTAAATTTTGTGCAATTAATTTTGGGCAAATTAAAATAGGTGTCAACAAAGGCACAAGTAAAACGTGATAAACAAGATGCGGCAAAGCTAAAGAAAGAAAATTCGAGATTGAAGAAACTGTGTTGTCGATATTTATAGTAGCTCACATGTTATTTGGAAATTTGAAGCTCAAGGATGTCATGAGTTTGCCATAGTGTGTTATTGTGAACGTGTTTTGTATTTGTCGACATTGCATTCTATTTGTGGGAAGAAAGTGGTTGTTTCTTTTTCAGTAAATAAATTCCACATCTGAGGTCTGAATATTAGTTTCTTCTTTTTGTATATCTCTGCAATCTTAATTTCAATGTTCCGGATTTGGAGCACTGGTCACGGACTGTTCACTACGCGTTCTCAACTTCAAAAATTCATATCCGGTAAACCGTAAGTCCAAATTGGGTTCTGTAAAATCCCACGGTCCCGCAATACCCTAAACTACCAATTCTATATATATACACAGCTCAATGACTTAAAAATTGGACTTCGCCGCCCAAATAACACATAAATGGACATAAAGACTAGACAAATTATCCGCAATGCGGAGCTTGAGCACGAAAGTTGGTTGCGTCATAACTTTCTCCACTAAACTCCAAGCGAGCTTATAGTTAAAAGAAAGCTCATTCATAGCACTACAAGAATTCTAACTTGGCTATCCCAAAATCGAGCCGAAACCCGACGAAAATCTGTATAAAAGCCGCTGGTCGCGCACTGTTCATTGGTCGCGCTCTCTCGATAATTCTCTCTCTATGTTTTTTTTTCTTTATAAAAGTTGTTGTAGTAATGCCCATTGCCTGAAAGCTGATTTTTCTAAAACTAGATTGATGCTGATACTACTGCAGTTGGGGAACGAGGCGAGGTAGATTTTAAATGAGGCAAAGTTTGCATAGCACATGAAAAAGGGTGAAGCGGTGAGTGAATTTGGGAAGTCAAAAACTATTACACAGCAAAGGCAGTATCTCCCCATATATTCAGTGCGAGATGAGTTATTGCAGTTAGACTTATAATTTTACGATATATTGTGGTTAGTTTTGCATAGTATTTCGTAGCACTGCAAGAGTCTAGATTATGTATGTTTTTAGCCACAGGTATTCTTTTAGTGCTGGTATTGGGTAACGAGGCATGGGGATAATATTGGAATCAGGACCCAAACTTGGACTGTGAAGCCTCATACTGTCGCTTAGGAATTTGGATGATCTGGTCTATTCTGAATCTAGGTTGCCATTCGCGGTGAGCCTCAATGGTGAAACAAACTTCTCTACCTAATTATATGATAGGACTGAGGATCATATCTGATTATAGCTTTATACAGAAGGAAACAATTATACTTGCATGCTATCCAGTTTCTCTTAAGGGATTAAAGCAACCCACCATGTATGTAAATTAAGGAAACGGTCGATGGACCATTAGGAAGATTTTATATCACTTCTACTCGTGTTCAAGACTGTCTTCAGTTTAAAGAGTTCAGTTTAAAGAGTTCACATACCATGGCAAGTTGTATCAGCAGTCCTCTTTGCTGCTGACCTGTGGTGGATGTTTATTCCTATGTTCTAGAATTTTTCTCTACGGAAGGCTTAATTTATTGAAGAACTATTGCATCCTGAGGTCATTCTATCTTTAATTGTGACAGGGAACTGCTGAGATTTTTAACTACATGTTTCAGTGCAACAACTCGTTGAGATTGAAAGACCAAACGGAGGCCCTATCAAACCGTGTGGAGCTACGTTACTATCCCAGAAGTAGGTACACTAATTCAGTTGCAGGAAACTCAAATCATCAATTTTGCTCCATGCACTCTGTAGTTAATTCCAAGAATGAATGTCTGTCAATAATGATGTTACAACGAGATAGTTTTACACCATCGAGAATGAAAGACGGCAAATGCCCCCAATACTACCCTGGGGATAAAAAGGAAAAGAGGGGGGGGTGCAAAGAGGGCATTATTCGGTTAAATGAAAAACAAATCATGGCCTCAAGCAATTATGGGGGATAGGGACAAGTAAATTGCACGGCATGTGAAGTTCTAAACAAGAATGCCTTTCCTTATCTGCATCACCTCCTCAATAGCTTGAGCACATCCCCTACCAGATGCAGCGAACCGGTGACAAGTACCTGTATATACCAATTAGATAGATAACATTTCCAATGGTCTGATACAAGAGCATGTAAACCACTACATACACAATATCTCTTTCGCACTAACAGTTGAAACACATGTATCTTCCATTTGGTCCCACAAATGGTTTGGCAAGACTCTTCTAGTAGCTACCTATGGACATCATGTTAATGACAGAAGGGTTACCTGAAGGCGTAAAGAAGGGTTTTCCTTAACACAGTCCCTCAGCCACTTTATTGTCAATGGCAAGGAAGGCATCACCGCACTGGATGCGAAATTCTGATCTGCCAGACTGCCGCGGGAAACATCTTCATAAAGAAAGTCGTGAGGGGGCAAGGAGTCTACACTGTCCGTCTTGGAACTCTTGTCAAGGGAAACATCTGCTCATGTATAAAGAAAATGTTATAAGCTCGAGCGAAACTTCATCATTTTCCCATACATGGATCAGTAAACTTTATTGTGGTGGGAGCTTTTTCAATCGATTGGCAACTGGCGACACCAACCTTAAACCAGTAGAGGCAGTATCATTTGATCGATTCGATAATAACTATGAACTACCAGATTGCTAATTAATTTATTTGACGCGACAACTCAATGCAAACCAACCTTAATCTCGTAGACCAGTTACAGCTTGCTGTGAACTACAACTAACATTAGCAGAAGCATGTGGAAGAATGAAGCTAATACCAGAATTAGCAACAGCAACAAACTGTAAGGGAAAGAGTTCACATGATATACTTGTTTGAGGCCACTTCTGAAAATACAGTGCTGGGGCTAACAAGGACCCCATTCGTGGTACTCTACCGGCTGCAGTTCATTTACACTATATTTCGTAAGTTTACTTTTTTTCTGTGAGGAAACAAACCTTTCCCGTGTATAATCTTCTCCCAAATCCTTTGGAGGTTATACTGCCACGACAAGTCCCTAGTAGTAGGGATATCTGATGTAATAACTGAAGCACCAGAAGTGACTTTATCATATGATGACATGCTAGGGACAAACAAAGCCTTTGAGAAATGGGTCCCTGCACAAGATTAGAACAAAACTCTTAACCGGTCATCTGCAAGCCTCACAAAATGACATATAGTGTGACTAATCTACCGGTAATGTTCAAATCTGAACAACCAACATTGCATCCGTGGAAGCAGCAGCAATAGAAACTTGCATCACCTCACTTATGATAAGTGCTTAAGATCATTCCCAGGATAAAGCTGATGCACTAAATTCTACATAAAAATAACATACCCCTTTTCTGTTTAACAACTATTATACAAGGGTGTTACTGATGGGTAAGAAGAACGCAGCTAACTGGCAAAATATGCTTTGATAACAGAATGAGGTGAAGCCATTTTGAAGACCCTGATCGCCATCAGACATGAGAAGCATACAATACAAAAGAGAACTGACGCATCAATGCACACATGATAACATTGATATAGCAGATAATGAGAATGACAACCATCAAGAGAAAATTATCAATTAGCAAATCATATGCCTTCATTCACTAAATTACACAGGCTTCATCAGGATGCGAAAAGAAACATCTTGCATCATGAAGATTGCATATATCTTTGGAATTGGATATACCTGATGAAGCGCATATATTCACAAGTCGTGGGAGCAGAATTTGAGGGTCTCTAACATCCATGCAATTAAATAATAGAATCTACCAAATACAAAACAAGCAAAGTATCAAAAACCATAAATCAAGCAAAACTGAACTTTCTTAAATGACAAAAAAAATGTGTCTTGTCTTTGCAAAAAAATACCTCATAGAAGCAATTCAAAATACTTACATCTCAAAAGAAACTCAATCTATGAGTAACTTTACCTGCTTTGACGTCTTATTAGATGACTTCAGGCAATCCTTTTCATAATGGAGGTACCATTTCCCCACAATGACTTCATATTG